ATTTGTGTAGAGGCATTTGAGGCCTCCTGTAGGTGCATATATTTGATATTCTTAAATCACAGATTTAAATTAGAAGTTTGTATTTTGCCTGAGACTTTCTTAAACATTCCAAAAGAAATCCCAAAACAAACAGAAAAGATTTTGCTTTTTAAAATAAGTAAAAATGTATATGAATTGCTACAATTACATCTAAGAAGTGGAAGGCAAAAGCTGGTAAATAGTTATTTGTAAAGTGACAAGGTTGGATAAAACTAACTAATATAATGCTACTAATTTATATGTTGAATTCACAGTGCGCTTCCAATGTGTTACCTAAAAGCATTAATCTGATATTCAGTGCAATGTTGAATTGATAGTCATTTGGTATTTAGAGTCAAAGCAGTGTCTACAGGTAACAGATAAATTCCATTGCAATTTATCATGTAAAGTTTAATTAATTTGAATTTTTGCAGTCTCCAGCTTCCCTGCATTTAGTTCAACCCATCCAATTGATACTGAAAAATCTTTCTGTTCTGAGGAAGTGGTGTGAGATAACTGTGCAGCACTACCTTTCCTTCCAGAAATGGAAGCTAATTATACAGGTGCTATAAAATAATATGGTAACTGAAGTAACAAGAAAAAGGTAATTGCACAGTAACTCACTTTTCTGCTGCTATGTTATTGCTTGAAAACAACATAATTGATGTGTGTCACCACTATGTACAGTCCCTAAAAGCACAGGTTTGATGCAAATGCATTTCTGTAAGAGGTCCACGCTGCATGCTATTCTTACATTGTAAATGGATGCGTAAACAGCAATGCGTCTCCACTTGGCCCTTGCCCAAAGCTTTGCAAAGCTTGTGAAAGTATCCCCTCTTTAATCAACTGAATGTCATTGGAGTTTGCCACCTTTGACCATTTCCACATTCTTGGCACAAAGGAGAATCCATCCTCCTTTTAGAGGATTACACAGCATTACGGTTGCTCTCTCTATGAGGATTAGCATGTTTCTGGACAACTTTTTCTAAAGAAATCATTACTGTGTAGGGGGGGATCAGTTTTCACCTTGCATACTGCAGCTTCCCTTACTATTGCTTCCCCTCTCTCCAAAACTACTGTTTCAGAAAATCATTGCTTCTGCTGCCCTGGGATTCACAGCCTTGCATTTCTTTTCTACCACACATTTTATCCTCTGCCAGGTGGCAGACAGAAGACTAACTGTACTACTGCAGCTACCATTTCATCACAGCTTTGTATCTGGAATTCACAGAGGGGCTCAGAACAAGCATGCTGTAATCCACAGGGTGGTATGATTGCTTCCACACTCTGGATAGAAATCCTCTATGTGCATATGTTGTAGATGTGCTGAGGGCCCTGCCACTTGTTCAACTTGTTATTGTTCTTTATAGGATTCAAGGCCCAGGAGTGAGGGGCAACTTAGACTTCTTTCCTTTATTTGGCTTGTTGAGGCAGGTGCCAGGTTCCCACACTGTTAAATAGTTTTGTGATGAGGATGGTTCTTAAATAGGCACTGGCTTCCAACACATCTGTCAGAAAGTGACAGCCTTCAGCCACTGGTGCCCTGGACTGGATGTCAGCTGATTAAAATCTCTCGAGCTGTTTGGTCCGTCTATTGTAAAAGCCTTCACAACAAAGCACCTAAGCATTGCTGTCATCTTCCTGGTTAGGCTAAAAATTTGAATAATTCTCATACAAGAAATGATCGTAGAACTTCAGAAAGCCACAAGTGGCCCCTTCAAACATTTTGAGAAACTCAGGAAATTGAAAACTTTGGAAATTTGGTATTCATATGCCCAGGTAATTTTAGGTGCTAATTTGAAATACTGGCTTCAATTTTAGGAGCAAACAACATAAACAGACTTCTGCATTATAGGATGGCCACATGTGCTGTGAAGTGCTACATCAGTTCCACCTATTGGGATATAAGACTTCCTGCTATAACCTGACAATTCCAAGAAGCAAATACAAAACTTTGAAAAAAGAAAGAATTGGAAGGGCCCTAGAAGGTAAAACAGAGTTGTAGGGAAAGGTGAAGTACAACTCTAGGGCAACATTTTAGGTTGGGAAATGTAGTTCAACCACAGTAATTAATTATCTGCCTACAGACATGTTAGTTAAGGGCATGCTGTAAAGTTCCCCATAGTGCTCTCAAGCAGATGTAGTGCTTTGAAGTACAGAATCATTGCTGGATCTTCTGCTGCTGTTGCATTGGAGCCAAGGCCTGGAATATGTGTACAGGACATTTGGGGGGAAATTGTCTTTTTGTGCTGGAAAATGGAAGTGCTGCTCTGGTAGATCCATTACCTGAGGGTGGCACAAAGAGTTAGAGGAATGGTAAATGCTTTTTACTTCAGTAAGGAAAATGTGAAGGCATCTATTTTTAACTGTATGGAAGGCAATATGGGCTTAAGTCCATGTATTTGAGGCCTGTATTACATATCCTCAGTCCTGCCTACTCAAACCTGTTTTAGTGAACATCATGCAAGGTGCTGGGTTGAGAAGGTGGGGAATTCCACCCAGGGATAGGGTGTAAGGTTCCAAGCCTGCCTAAATCTTTGTGGAAGGGGCACAGGATGTTACACCAGCCCAAGAAGTGGGAGCACTGACTAGCAAGGTAGGCTTGCTGATGGAGTGCATGACCTCCTAGTACATAAACTATTCCAGCTGGTGGGATTCTTACCAGGCAAAAGACAGATTCAAAATTATTCATACCTGAGCAAAATTTCAAGGGATAAGTGGCAATAATCTCATTCTATCCTCCTTCGGAGTAAATCATTCTTCTGTTACTACTTCAGGCACGTGAGCTCCATAGCTCTTTCCATCTGGAACACTCTCAAGGATAGATTAAAGCTAACTAGGCTCTGCATCTAGCAAAAGTTTCTTGCTCCAAATTTTCAAACACGTTCCACAGTTAGCTTTCTTTAGCCTGAACATTTTTCTTAGGCACTTTCTTTCAGCCTGTTGTTCCTGCTCTTTGATCTCAATGCTGTCCTCTCCAGTTGTATGTTGCTGTGGCGAGGCATTAGGGGGTGCTATCTTCCTAGACCTTGTGGAATTCTAGGCAGATTCACAGCAGGGTGCAGACTTTTTAAAAATGTATTTATTTTTCTTAGGCTTTTTTCTGGTTTTCTTCCTGCAGGAAGTCATAAACTGTTAACTTGCCTTTTGTGAAGCCTCAGACAGCAACATTGGATACCCCTTAGCAAAGCTGGGATCCTGCAAATAGAAGGGAAAGAATCAAAAGAATGATTCTGTGGGTTGTGCTGAGGGACTTGAAAGTTATGGCAGAAATGGGGTGAAGGTCAAAGTGAAATTTATCTTTGCACTAGGGACAAAGCTGACAGCATAAAGCTACATGAGTCTGAAAGGTTGTTGAGTGCTCTGTGCAGGGATATGGATTGGGAGGGCTATCTGGTACTTTAGGTCTTGTTTTTGGGTAGCTGAGAAAAATGAATACTCCAAAGAAGACTTCAAGCAGCAAAACGTGGAAAAATTCTTATACAGTATAGGTGCAAGGAGAAAGACCTCCTGGAGCAGAACCAGAAGATGGAAGGAGGAAGAAAAGCAAGTGAAAGACCCAGAGGAGGAAGTGGAAGAAGGAAGAGAGGTTGTAGCAGGGGCAAGAGACTGATAAAAAGGTGTCTCCATATGTAAAAGGAGAAGTTGGTGGTCTGGGGAGGTAAGACATAAGATTGAAACCATGGTTATGGGGAGGGTGGAGTGCTAGAAGCAAATGAGAGCCAGAAAAGGAAGAAAAACGGGTGAGAGACTGCAGTCTAAGATAGCTTGAGTACTGCAAGAAGCATAACCACATCAGCACAGAACTCAATTGAGGCCAAGCAACCTGCTTGAGGTCTGGGGGGGAGGAAGGTTGCACCCTGAGCTGAGCTCTGTGCTGCTGTGGCTATATTGTTAGCAGTCCCTGTGCTAGCAAAGATGCATCTATCTAAATTGCAGGCACACATGGATTGCAGCACAGAGTAGAAAAGAGTTAAATGGAAAAGGAAGAACAAGAAAAAGGCAGCTAGTATGCTGTTCCTTTAAGAGTTATAAAAAGCTTAGTGCCAAAATGCTATTCCCCCTACATACGCAATATGCTTGATTTTTTTGTACAATATAATGACGACTGTTATGGAGGGTGAGTGTGTAGGATGGTGAGGACAGGACTCCTACAGAAGGGTGGGGGTACTTATTATCAGGTAAGGAGGAGAACTACCTGGATACATACAAAGGGTAGTTTTAAGGTGTCTGCTCTTCATAAGATTGATTATGGCTTTTTTTTAAATACATACCTAATAGGAGACCCTCAGCCACACTTGCAGAGGGGGAGGGGACTCTGATGCATGCATGTTTGCATTTTAAGAGGCCTTACCTTGTTGAAATAGCAAGCTGTTCTGTGCCTCAAATGCTAGATAAATGTCAAATGAGCTTATGTTTTTTGGCACAGAATGAACAGGCCATTATTTATCATACCTTGTACTGGTAAGTATGAAGAGTATTTCCTTTCCCTGGTGCTCCTGTCCAGGGAGCAAAGGTAGTGTGCAAATTAATGCCTCCATGGTCAGGGATGACTGGAAGAGGGTCCACCCTGACCTCAGACCCTTCCAGCTGCTTCCTTGTTGGCTGCCAGCCTGGCTGCACACTTTGGGAGCAGGTGTTACCCTATGTTTGCCAGTCTATGTCCTGTTTGCCCCTGGGCTTAATTCTGTGCATCCACCCTTTTCCTTAGGCTTTATACTGAATTCTTAACAAGGTTGTCTGGGTCCCCTGTCTGTCCTCACCTTCCTGTGTGTACTTATCCTATTTGTTCTTTTCTTTGAAAACTCAGAGTTTTCACATAAGACACATACCTTATTTTAGAAAGGCAGAATAAAGAAAAAAAGACCTGTCCTTGTAGTAAGTACTGTAACCAAGTAGAGCAGTAGGGGGCCAAGCCTACTCATTGTTCTGTTCCCTATAAATCACATACAGACTTACTTTTGATTTTGCATGGCAAGAGTTTAAGTAGCAGAAATTGCTGTTACCATATTTCATCACTTATAATGTGCACCCCAATTTCTAGTACTATTTTTGAGGGAAAGGTGCATAAGGCATGCAAAAAAATACGGTATTTTATAGATCAAATTTCATCCTGTGACTGTAAATTGTTTAGAGGCCATAATGGCAGGGGCAATGCTGGAAAATAAGCTATAAACCTCACTAAGGCTGTTTCGTGATTTTAATTAACATTTGTAAGTTCTTTAAAGATCCTCAGATGAAAGGCACTGTAGAAGTGTAAATAGGTGAAACACAGCAAAAGAAATTTAAAGTAAGGGACTTGTTTAGCAGCTGTTCTATCAGACAGTAAATACACAAGGAGAGGCCTCTAACAAATAATGTAATGCCTTTACATTTCAAGGGTTTGATCAGCTGAACAGAGTAAGGCCCTGTACTCAACTCCAGGGTATTTGTCCATTTAATTTTTGTATATAATGCAACAACTTTTTAACAATGCATGTGCACACTTCCAAAATTGCACAGAATGTTCTAGGGATCAGTGGATTCAACACTTTGGATTGTGGTGACAACTGGAAAAATCCCGATTCCGAGGAAAACCAGGACTCCAGAACCACTTTCTCCTGCTGGCGGAGGAATATTTATGGTGCTGCCATCTGTGGGGTAGGTATAAGGGCAGCTATTTAATTTGCTGTGTGGGAAGATTGGTTGTACCTGAAGTCTAACAAAAATAAGAGTGTTTGACAAGAAGGATTTTGGGAGGAAGTGGGGATTTGCAATGGGCATGGAGTGAGGAGGGAAGCAGCAGAGGCTAGAGGCATGAAGTAATGTTCAAAGAAAGCAGGAACCTAGAGGGGAGTTGGCGGCTAGTTGTGGTACTGGGGGAGGCAGCAGGAACTGGGAAGGAAAGGTGGTAGTGCAAGACGTGGAAGCAGTAGGGGAAGTGAGTGGGTAGTGAAGAGCAAGGACTGTTTATTAACAAATCTTGGAGTGTAGGGAGGAGAGGGGCATGATTCTTGGCATAAGCATAGGTGATTGATAAAAGAAGGAGGTGGTGTGAATTTCTGGGATTGGGAGAAGGTAGAGGGGTCCAGGTTCATGAGTCACTGAAGGAAAAAGACAAAACACCTCTGACAATAGGGACTAGGGGACATCTGTAACATACACTTCTAGTCTCCCTTGTCCTGCACATTGCTTCTGCCTCAACGAATTTTAGTAGGCAGAGAAGTATTTCTGGTGTCCTCCACTGTTCACTGCACATCACAGAAAACAGCATCATATGGTGTGTTCTCTTCCCTCTCTGATTGGCTACACAGTTCTGCCTGAAGAAGGAACATGGTGTACCATTGCCTAATTTCAAGTACTTGTTCAAACATAAATTTCAAAGAATAGAGGTGAAACGTTTATCATATCACATGAGTACTTTGAGGATCACATAGTTCATAAAGAGTCCTTGCCTGACCTACATGCTTTGGCTGCTGTCCTGCAAATCCTAGCACTGTACTAACTGCTCAGTGGCTAGGGATAGACATTCAAAAAGCCTGAGCCTGAATTGATTCATTCTTTGCAGGTTAGTTTAACTTGACTAGGCTGAACAGGTTTGAAACTGGACATTCACTTTGGACTGAGGAAATTCAGGCACATGCCTGCAGTGGCTCAGACTAGAAGCTGGGAGGCACTAGAGCAGACCTTCCTTCCCTTGTGCAGGGAGCTGAGCTGAGCAGAGCATGGCCAGGCCTCAGCAGGACTCATTAGGGATGTCTGCCTGTATGGTCGTAGGCTTTTCCCTGCTGGTTGCTCAAGGGGTTGCAGTGTTGCCAGCCCCCAGCCCTGGGACAGCACTCAGAGCTGGAGGAGGGGGAATCAGTGTATGCATCTGTTGATGATGCAGAGCTTTTCAATCTCCCTCCCTGCTTTGTCATACTGTCTGCAGCAAACTGACAGATGGGGGGGGCACGGGGAAGCCAGCAGACCCTGCTGTACCTGTAAGTCTGTGCTGAGCTCCAGCCAGGGAGCAGAGGGGAGGGGCCAGGCCTGTTGTGGGGCAGAGAGCCCCATCCAGAGAGTACATACCCTGGGATCCTGGGGGACTCTGATTTAACTTAAACCAGCAAGGGGTCTGGGACAGACATTGCATAAACTGGTTTGAGCCAAATCAGTTAAGTCTGATACTACATTCAACCAGGTTTATCTCAAACTGGTTTCAGTTATTTTCAAACTGGTTTATGTGCACTGAACATCTGTTCTGTTACAGGTTTAAACCAGTTTCTGATCACTTAAATCAGTTTGAGTAATGTCTGTCCCTAGCTAGTGTGGGTAGCCCTACTGATGTTCATGAAAAACCTAAAAGCTTTCACAGAAAGCTTAAGCAGTTGGTGAACTGGGGCTTCTGCACACTGACCACTATTTGCATATCTAAAAAGTCTTTCTCATAAACCAATTCCAAGAAGTAATCATTTCAGTGAGCTTACAACAGAAAGAAGTGTAGGACCTCTTAATTCTCAGGCTCTTTTGTGCAGCTGTGCCTCCCACTCAAGTCAACTGGAAGCTTGATATCGCTAAAAAACAGGATTCCCTATGCTTTACTATTTGGAATTTATTGTTTGTAATTAAAAAGCCACAATACCCCCAGTGAGAAGGAAGTCCCTTTTATTTCTTGGCTGTAAGGATGCCACATGAAATGGCACAAACAGTGTAGATTGGATGGCACACAAGTAATGAAGGGATTTTATTCTGCAAAAACAACTAGGATGCCTATTAATATAATTAAAGCTTAAAGTAGCCAAGAATTTTTGGGTCGATCTGGCAGAACATTCCCATTGTTTTGTGGTTAACAGGAGATAGAATCATATAAAATGTGGGTTAGAAGGGACCTCAGGAGGTCATCTAGTCCAACCCCCTGCTCAAAGCAGGACCATCCCTAACTAGATTATCCCAGTTAAGGCTTTGTCTAGCTGGGTCATAAAAACCTCCGAGGATGTAGATTCCACCACCTCTCTGGGGAACCTGATTTACTACCCACCTAGTGTGAGAATTTTTCTGAATATCTAACCTAAACTTGCTGCAACTTGAGACCATTGCTCTTTGTTCTGTCATCTGCCACCACTGAGAACAGTCCAGCTCCATCTTCTTTGGAACCACACTTCAGCTGGCTGAGGGCTGCTATTATATCACCTCTCAGCCCTCTCTTCTCTGAACTAAATAAACGCAGTTCCCTCAACCTTTCCTCACAAGTCATGTGCCCCAGCTCCCTCACCATTTCCGTTGCTCTCTGCAATTTGTCCGCATCCTTTCTGCAGTGGGGGCCCCAAAACTGAACACAGCACTCCAGATGTGGTCTCACCAGTGCAGAATAAAGGGGAATAATCATTTCCATTGACCTGCTGGTAACACTGCTACCAATGCAGCCCAGTATGCCATTAGCCTTTTTGGCAACAAGGGCGCACTGTTGGCTATTCAGCTTATTGTCCCCTATACCCCCCAGGTCCTTTTCTGCAGAGCTGCTGCCCAGCCAGTCAGTCCTCAGCCTGTACCTATACATGGGATTGTTCTGTCCTAAGTGCAGGACTTTGCATTTGTCCTTATCAAACCTCATGGGATTTTTTTTTTTGGTCTAATCCTCCAATTTGCCTAGGTGTCTCTGAACCCTAACACTATTCTCCAGTGTATCTACTACTACCTCCATCTTGGTGTCATCTGCAAACTTACTGAGGGTGCACTCTATGCCATCTTTCAGGTTGTTAATGAAGATATTGAACAAAGACCAGCTACAGGGCCAAGCCCCGGTGCACTCCAATTGATACCAGCTGCCAGCTAGACATCGAGTCATTGACTGCTACCCGCTGAGCCAAATGATCCAGCCAGTTTTCTGTCTACCTTACAGTCCATTCATCCAACCTGTACTTCCTTAGCTTGCCTGCGAGGATGTTGTAGATCACATGTTCCACTGCACAGTATTAACACGCATTTCCATTAAAATTAAGGAAGATTCTAATGTTTGAAATTTGTGTGTGCCCCTCTGTAAATTTAAAATTGCAAGACAGCTGGAGGAAGAGAAGAAAGAGGAGGAGGAGGGGTTTTGTACTGCACAAAACTGCTGTTTCCTTTGCTACTGGAACATAACTGAATTCGCAGACTGCATTAGAAAGAATGGCTTTTTAGGGCACATCTTGGGTGCTCACAAAGCAATGCTCATAAAAGACATTGCTGGGGGCACATTGCATTTCATCTTTCTGTTGAAATTGGGAGGCCTTGTGCCATTAGCGGGCAGCTGCATTAAGGGTTTCATAGGTAACTTCAGGACACTGGACACATTTACAATGCACAAAACACAAACACTTTTAATGGTTATTTTCCCTACGTGTAAAATTCACAAGAAGGGGCCAGGTTTTCCTGTGCCTACTGACAAATGCTCTTGAAAAGAAGGTCTGGATTAGACTCCTCACTTTAGGCTGTCATTTCTGGGATCAACACAGTGTTGTGTCCTTTGGGGGAAAAAGAGAACAAGACAGTGCTTCACCTGGTTCTGGAGTGATTTGTGTGGCAGGGATTAGGACTCCTTCGTTGATAGGCTTCTAAGGGAAGCTCCGTACAAACCGCCTTGCATTGAAGGGTGCCAGGAAAGGAAAGTAGGCCTTATTGTGGAGACCAGAAAAAACAAAAGCTAGGTGAAGTCCATCAACCTATTTATTCCACAGTGTGAATAGCCATATCACACAAAAAGCAGGTTTCAGAATAAAATAATTAGCTAGTTAGTATGCTCATCACCATCAGGTGCTTCATATCCAAGCAGCAGAGTTCAAGGAGACTTGTTAAACTGGTCTCTGGCAGCATTTGCACTGTCTGCAGGTTCACAAACTACAGGCTGCACAGTTTGTCACTTAACACCCAAAAACCTGTGGTAGTGCCCACTTCAGTATAAGTCCAGTGTTTATTGTCAGTGGAAATGTGTTTATGACTGTCATATAATGGCTTAATGTAATTAGAAACTGAAGGAAGAAATGATGTAGCCTTTTTTTAAAGTAAGAAAAATGTTTCCTTTAAAGAGTAAGATAAACAGCAACACAACTTGTGTGGTTCTGGTTTGGTTTAAAAGATACACACAAAATGTAGGCGACAGTAGAAATAGCCAGATAGGTTTTAGATAGTAATTCCTTGCCTTGCCCTGACTCTCCATTAAGGAGGTTCCTTTACTTAATTGCTGCAAAATTGTATGGTATCTCTTTAAATTAGCATTTTTCTTTGAAGCTCTGGAATGCCCAGGCAGTATGTGTTTTAATCTTTCTTAAATGTCTGTTGTTAAAGAAGTGAAACTAAAACATTTTTGGGGGTAGACTTATATTCTTCAGAGGCTGGGGGGCAGGGATCCTAGTATTGTCTGTCCCTTGAACAAACCCTTTGTTTCAATTAGCTGTGGCAGATCTGGTTTATGTTTGTACTACTTTGACATATGTTCATTGGGGGAATGTTTAATGAACCTTTTTTGTAGATAAGAGTAATTTATAATTCTTCTCAGTTTCCTAAGATGTAGCATGCACATTAGTGTTACTAGGAGCATGCATGGAAGAAACTTATTTTAATTTTATTATATTTTGGAAACAAGACCAAAGAAGTCTTAGAACTTGGCTGTTCTTTATGTGTTTAGTGCCACATAGGAGAATCCAAGGAATTTCAAAACCTAAATACTGTCAAAGATCAGGGCTTCAGTACCTAGGACAATGATTATAGTGATTGGCAAGATTCTGATTTGTGTGAATGGATGAATGAATGGAAATCTCATATAACATACTTCCAGGAGTCAGAAAAACACAGGTATATTGAATGCTAGTTAATGGAGTAGTAACACTATTACAGTCTGGAAAAGAGGAATGTTTATTTTCCTGTGAGTTAAAATCATTTCTAGTATAACTTTTTCTCAAGTTAGTGTTGTTTGTATCAGGGATGACTTTGGTTCTAAAACCTGTAACCCAGAAAATGTTAACCCCACACTTTCATGGATTTAAGAGTTTACACAGTTAAATTTTACACACATACACAAACATTTGCTTTTCTTAAACATTGGACTATTTATGCCTTGATTTATAATAGTTATTTAAAACTAAATATGAATAAGAAAGGTTTAATACATATTGTTTGGAAACATATAGTGTTTGGGATGCAGTAAGTAGCAGGAACAGAAGAATTTCTGTGAAAGTGAACACTGTTTATAATTTCCCTTCAGTAAGAAGCATTTAGAATTCTATACAAAAAAAAAAAATTAATTCTGAATTTTTCCATGAATGGCAAATGGGTCTTTAGTAACTAAACAATCCATAAACAGTTCTTGAATGTGTTTCTGCGTAACACTAATCTTTAAAATGAAGATGCAGCAGAGACCCTGAATTTAGTATATTTGTGTTTTTATACATGTTTCACTTCTCAAATACAGTGGTTGAACCAAATTGTGAGAACCAACCATGAATATAAAATCTGTGCTTACACTGATATCCCTTTTTTAATATAAAATCTATCATCCCAAAACCTGTGCAAGATCTGCCTCTTTCAAGTGTATATGCAAGTTACAGCATCCTTTTTAAAAAATGAACTACATTCCTTGCTGTTTCAGTGAGGTTTTTTTATGCAAGTTGACACAAGTTTCTTCCCTACTGACCTCTTTTAAAGCAACTTTCAGTTCCCCCATGTCTATTAAAAAAAGTCATATCATGTACAAACACATTCTTTATGTACATTTAAAAAAATCCTCTCTGATATTGTTTTTCCAAATGTAAAATGTCTGTATGCACCACAGGCATGTTGTGGAGTTCTTTGACTCTGAAGGAGGGGGCTTGGGTACTTCCCATAAAATTCAGCCTGTTACACTACAACTAGGCCTGGCCACTGTCAGTTTCTTTATTCTGGGATCTCTAGCTAATAACAAGGATTATACTCCAAATACGGCTTTAGTCTAGCAACACAAATATATTGTAGTACAATTTAGTTCAGTTCCAGAGTAAGTCAGGTCACAGTTGTTGCCACTCGGGTTCCATTCTTTGCATGTTGTTGGCTTCTATGAGTTAAGGCATGGAGAAAGAAATTTTGCTTCCTCCAGCTGCTGGGCCTGCAGTTCCTCTCTCTGTAGGAAATTCTGAAACACGGGTGAAATCTAGTGTTCACTTTGCTCACACTGGTTAGACGGGGGGCTGCTGAGTATAGCAGACACCGCCCCCCCCCTCCCCCCCATTATTTTACCAGTCCACACATCATTGGGAGTGACACACACACACACAGTTAGTTTAATAGGAAAGTTTTCCTGAATGACTCCTACAACCCCAAACAACTTACCATCTCCTACTGATGTTTTAGCAGGCTCATTCTGTGACCAAGAGGAAGAGTGAGTAAGTTTAGTGCTTCCCACTGCCTTAATTGCCCCGTTCTCAAGATATTTAATTCTTTAGACCATTGTTTGTAACAATATTGTAATAAAAAATAAAGGCATTCTGTTTTCTAACCTTTTGCACAGTCTTACTTGGCTGCCTCATTGTGCCCACAAGGCCTGTGGGTGAAGAATCAAGCAAAAGGTCAGCATGTTTTACTCTTGTCTTTGGATTTGGACTGTTAATGAACCATGGAAGAAGATCATTGTGACAAAATTCCTCCTGACATGGTGAAGATAATACCCCAATGCAGTCATCTGTGATTTAAGTCTTGTGCCATTCTGAGTTATGCAAAACATGAAGCCTGTCTGCATATTATGCCTGAGCACTCCAGTGTTACTTGGGGTTCTGTTACCCTTTATGTGATGGCTGTTTCAGCCAAAAGGATTTTTCGCATGAATCAAAACATGCAGAAATATTCTTGATTCTGCTGCTAATAGTCATGAACACTAAACAACCTCCCTCAGGTGTCCCATCTTTTACTTTAAGCTTTTCAATGAAGAACTATGAAAGAGAAAAATTATGATAGGCCAATATCTTCTGAAGCTCTCAGATCAATGGCTGTGTTGCAGCTAGATGTAATAATATTCATCTGTGTCTGAATGAGTTTGTATGGTTTGGATTTGGAACCCCTTGGCCCTTAGGGTGAGAAGTGTCCTTCCTCTGTCTGCTGTACAACCCACAAAGATGACTCACCTTAAATGCTAATTGTAGAACCTAGAAGATAAGACTGATCCAAAAAAACCCAGCATCATAGCAAGCATCATTTGGTAAGGTGCAGACAGAGTCTTTTCCAGTGTTACTGTTTTTGTACCATGGCTAGGACTTCTATATCCAGTAGCCTTGGTAGGGATGATAGGAACAAAGGAGTTTACCCAAGTGGCCTACAATTGGCAGGAGAGAGGACAGTAAAGCAGCAGCATTTCTCTACCCTTGACTTTATAAAAGTCACCATGGTTTAAGTGTAAGCAATTGGGACACATTGATGAGTTTGGTGGGGAGAAGCTGAAGCTGAGGAAGAACCGTGTTATACAGTATTGTTTACCAGAAGACTCCTTGGGAAGACAGTGGAAGTTACTTCTGGGACTGTCAGACTTACTTCTCATTGATTGTGCTCTGAGCTTTCAAGCTTCTTTTCATAGTATGCATTCTGCAGCTAGAGATAAGGGACCTGTATGCCTATTAAATAAATAAATAAATAAATAAAGGGCATAAAAAAACCTGGCAAGAGTGCTGACCCTACACACAGCTACTTTTGAGATCTGAGGGGGGTTTCCATGTAGACTTCCTTCATGAACTTTTCTAGGAATTTGGGGTGCTTTGAGCTTCTTTCAGGCCATAGCTATCTTGTTTGTTTATACTAGTATCAGAACTACTGGTGAAATCTTCTGCTGTGCAAAACTATCCAAGAAGCTTTAAATAATCCACCTATATGTTACCTTTCTGTTTTCATTGTACAGCAGCACCTTTGTTTGTCAGTATTTTAGGCTGCCAGTATCACTTCAAAGATGTACAATATTTGTAACAGAATATAAAATATTTTGTTACCACCTGCCCCACCCCCATCTTTTTTTCCTGATTTTTCAAAAGGAAAGTTTGAATGTTAATTGTAATACCCAATATCCCCCTTTCACTTTAAGCCTTCAGGATATTATTATTATGTTTTACCTTGTCTTGCTTTGCTGGGAGGACAGGAGTAAGAGCTTTCACAGCCCTTTGGGAGTCTCTCACAAAGAAAGGCACTTTCATGAAGGCTGCAGCCCCATTTTTAAAAGGACCTTTGCTGATCACCTTTGAACAGTCCTTCAGCTAAAAAGTGGCTAAATTAGGAACAGATACTTCTAAGGAAAAAATAAAAGGAAAAAAAAGCTCTCTCCCAGTTTCTTCTTCTTTTTAAATGATATTTACTATAACTATTAAAAATATCACAGTAAAGAAATTTTTTGTGACTGTCACTTCTAAGTTATTAGGGTGCGAGGAATTTCTTTTGCTTTTCATCTCTCAGGTTGGACTATGAGAAGGGGGAAATGGGATTCATAGTTCTGAAATGTACTCCTTTCCTCCTGCCTTCAAACAGGAGGCTCAGCCATATCTTAGGAAAAGGGGACAGGGAGCCAGAGTTCCATGATACCCATCATGGTTTTTACTGTGCTGCATTTCCCAATGCAGAATTAGCATATCAGCACCAATCTGCTAGGAAGGTGTGTTGCTAGCAGATCAAGGGAAGTGATTATTCCCCTCTGTTTGGCACTGGTGAGAGCACATCTAGAGTATTGTGTCCAGTTTTGGGCCCCCCACTTCAGAAAGGATGTGGACCAATTGGAGAGAGTCCAGTGGAGGGCAATAAAAATGGTTAGGGGGCTGGGGGACCTGACTTCTGAGGAGAGGCTGAGGGAACTGGGCTTATTTAGTCTAGAGAAGAGAAGACAGGAGGGAGTGGGGTGAGGATTTAATAGCAGCCTTCAACTATCTGAAGGGTGGTTCAAAAGTGGATGGAGCTGGATTGTTCTCAGTGGTGGCAGATGACAGAACAAGGAGCAATGGTCTCAAGTTGCAGCAAGGGAAGTTTAGGTTAGACATTAGGAAAAACCTTCTCACTAGAAGGGTAGTAAAACATGGTGACAGGTTACCCAGAGAGGTGGTGGAATCTCCATCCTTAAAGTTTTTAAGACCTGGCTAGACAAAGCTTTGACTGGGATGATCTAGTTGGGGATGGTTCTGCTTTGACCAGGGGGTTGGACTGGATGACCTCCTGAGGACCCTTCCAGCCCTAACTTTCTATGATTCTATTATTCTGTAATCCTGGAATTAAGGAGTGCCTAATCTAATGTTTAAATCTCTAAGCATGTCATGTCTTTCTATTGCTGTATCAGCCAGGAGCTTTATTTTTACATGCCACCACGGCTTTGCAAGAATGTTTCCTTCCTACTGACACAATGAGGGCAAGCACAGGTTTTTGGTGTTTTCTTTGATTTGATGTAAGCACTAGATACAATAGCTCTTGGTTCAGCTGCCACACAATAGAAACCTGCTTTTGATTGAATTTTCAAGGTTGCCAGAAGTGTTTTTTTGCTAATACATTTAAAACACTGAGTTCACCAACAGTTCCTGAGGTAGGAGGGAGGCTATTGGATTATAAAGTGCACTTTCCTGCACCTGAAGCCACTAAGCTTTGTTGGCAGCACAAGGGCAATTAGTAATTTATCACAAACCCGTTTAGAACTTCATCTAGTGGGAGAGCAACGAGTGAGGTTTGTCTGAACAATAAAGGTCCCCTTTTCATGGCAGCATCTGACTTGAAATAAAAACAGGGAAAGCACAGAGAACTGATACACAAGCAGCATTGATTCTCACAAGGATTGTTTTTTTCAAAGTTTTCCAGAATACATTGTCTAGTCTTCAAGGTGGTGGCAGGAGTGAGAAGTCAATGCTGCTTTGGGACTGCAGAAGATGATCAGCCATCATAAATAACCCTGTGGCATGCCAGCCCTTTGGGGGGTGGGCTTCCCTATTCACTCTCTGAAACAATGAGAAGGTAAATTAGAGAGAGAGGTAGAGCTGTGTTAGTCTGAAATCAGGCAGAAGGCAGGGCAGACTAAATCAGAGATGCCTCACATAAGCTTTCATAAGCCGGAGCTTGCTTCATCAGATACACCCCTGTGATTGTGATAAGGTCCCTCCTGGCATTTAAAAGTTCATAGCTGACTGAGGTGGGCTCAGGGTGGATTCAGGGGGTTGTACAGGTGCATTTGCTCCCCTCTTTGCTTTCTGTTCCACCTAAGGTTGAAAACCAACTGCCTGGCAGTGGCAGCAGCCTTTCTAGTTGGGCAGTGCTGAGAAAATCCATTGACTTCATGGCTGATTACAATCTACCTGATCCTTTCTAAACTCTTCGTTCCACAGGTGTTAAGGACCCTCTCTCATTTTCAGTGGTCTTGATGTTCCACCAGTTGAGTTACCCTTTGTTCTGCCATTCATGCTGTCTGTTAGCTGCTCCTGGTCATGAAGCTCCTCTTTCCCAGCCCTGCAGATTGTTTTTGACTCATTCCAATGTAACTAGACCTGTTCCTGCTTCTCAAACTGAGTCACACAGCTCTAGGCTTATTTTCAGTTTATTTTCAATTGGGGGAAAAAAATTCTGTGTAGTTTCATCCCTGCTGATACATCTCACCATCTGCATTCCCCTTCTCTGAATCCTAGTCCCACCCATGGGTGGGCTAGTGGGTAGGTAGGCATTAGCCGGCTTCCCTTTCCCCCTGCCCTGGCTGGAGGCTACTTGCTGGGGTGTTGGCATGAGGACACCCAGCGCAGAATTCACTTTCTTGGGTTTCAGGGGGGGTTCAAGCCAAGATGCCAGCAGGTTAAGGGATTCCCCTCCCCAGTTCAGCACTGGTGAGGCCACATCTGGAGTCCTGTGTCCAGTTTTCAGCCCCCCACTCCAGAAAGTGAACAAAGTGGAGAGAGTCCAACTGAGGGCAACCAAAATGGTTTGGGAGCTGAGGGACGTGACTTATGAGAAGCTGAGGGAACTGGGCTTTTCTGGAGAAGAGAAGACAGAGTGAGGATTGGATAGTAACCTTTAAGTACCTGAAGGGTGGCTCCAAGGAGGATGGAGCTAGACTGTTCTCAGTGGTGGCAGATAGGGTGGCCATCATAGAGGTGTTCTGCTACTCTGTCCTCTATTGATATGAAACCCGAGGCCTTCGTGTCCTCTATTTTTCTCTTGAAAACTGGACACAGGACTCCACATGAGGCCTTACCAGTGCTGAATAGAGGAGAAAAAATCTCCAGCTGCTGGTGCCTTGGCTTGAACCCCCACTCAGAAACCCAAGAAGGTGAATTTTGCCCTGGGTGTTCTCATGCCAACACAATCCTGCTCCCCTGGTGGCAAGTAGCCTTCAGCCAGCGCAGGGGGAAAGTGAAGCCTGCCAGCACCTACCTACCCCCTAGCCCACCCATGGGTGGGACTAGGATTCAGAGAAGGGGAATGTGGATGGTGAGATGCAGCAGCAGGGATGCATATTTCTTGAAGAGAAAAATAGAGGAGAGAAAGGTGTCGGGTTTCATATCAATAGAGGACAACTGGACTAGGATGGCCACCCTGGTGGTAGATGGCAAAACAAGGAGCGAGGGTCTCCAGTTGCAGCAAGGGGAGTTTAGGTTGGCTATTAGGAAAACTCTCTCACTAGGAGGGTCGTAAAACACTGGAGCAGGCTACCCAGAGAGGTGGTGCAATCTCCCTCCTCGGAGGTTTGAAGACCCAGCTAGACAAAGCCTCGGCCGGGCTGATCTAGTTGGGTCCCGCTATGCGCAGGGGGTGGCCGAGAGGCCCCCTGGGGTCCCTCGCGGCTCCGGCCCCTGGTGCGACCCGCAGGCAGTGGGGCGTGCTCAGCCGGGCCGGGCCGGGCGTGCGACCCCTCGCGGCGGGGGGCGGGGTCATCCATCCCCTCGGGCTCCCCGCGCGCCTGAGCAGGGAGCCGGGCGGGGACGCCTCACCCTGCGCTGCCCGCCCCTGAGGGGGGAGCGCTGGCGGAGGAGGGAGGAGCCAAGCGCCGCCGCTTCCCTCCC